AGAAATTCTGTAATGAAAAGTGGAGATCATTTACTTCCCTAGAAAATAAGTGGGAAGGATTCTTTAAAGAGATGAACTTTAACTGATGAAACAACAGTCTTTACTGAAGGCAAAATCTCATCATCTTGTACTACACTTGAAAAAAGGCCCAGCTAAAGGCCTGGAAGGTTTTCAGTGTCTGAAATGTAATTCTGAGACTAATCTGCTATCTGATTAACTTCAAAGAGGCAGGCAGCACCACAGGTTTTCTTAATATTGTGACCTTTTTCCTTCTTTCCTTGTCTTTTTTTTCTTTTCTGTCCTGAAAATACATCATTAAAATTTATGCATTAAAAAAAGCCCATTTTGAAACCTTTATCAAAGTGATCAGAAAGGGTTTTCAGGGGCCATTCCCTGCCACCACAGATGGAAGAGATTAATTTCAAATGAGTTAAGCCATGAACTGCACCCCAACTGCAGAGAAAGGTTATCTGACTTAAGATAAATTTGATGTTGATGTTCAGAGCTGGTGATCTGGTTGAATCCTAAACACAGAAGCAAACTATATTTATCATATTGTCAGGAAATGAAAATCAGAATATTAGCAGCTACAAGGAACTAGAGCCAGAAAAATGTAAACAATCATAGATTTTCTGCTTTCCCTTTAATACTCTCTTAGGGGTTTCAGAAATAGAAAATTTAGATCCTCGTGTTACAAGATGCTGTCTCCACTATCAGCCTCACAGATAAATTTAGGTTCTACAGTCACATCATGAATGATGTCACAGGATTTCAGCTCTGTGGTATTTGGAAGCTACTTTGCAATGTACATTTGAAACTATAAAGCATGCAACAGTTTCAGAGGAAAGCAGATAAAGTGTGTTGTGACATGGATTTAATTAGTGTAAATTTGCATATGGGAAGGTTTCAGTTTAAAAACATCAAAAGACAGTAGTGCCTTGGAAACAGGTTCACCAGAACACTCAAAATAAAAATCAAAATAAGAGAAAACAAAACTGAGTTAAAGAAAAAATGGCAAAATCAAATCAAGGGCTTAACATTCCCTTTCTGTGTGCTGTAATTCAAGATACCTGTGCTGAGGGTCCAGCACTGGCACAGGCTCCCTCCCTGCCTGAGTTTGACATGTTGGGAAGGAGCCTTTAAATAACTCTGAAGAGCTGTTTTCATGTCCGTGTTTTCAGTGCTCACCACCAAAATCCATCTGTTCATTCCACGACTTTGCAGAGCAGCTGCAAGACCTTTCCTATGGGCCTGATGCAAGGCTGGGTAAAGTCAGTGAGAGTGTTTGCTTGGACTTTAATGAGATTTGGGTCATCTCCTTTCACTGAGGCAGAGTTCCACTTGGTAATTTCATGGGCCACCTTCAGTCATCTCAATCAGCTTCTAATGATTGTCATTGTTTCACACTTTTAAAGAAGCATTCAACCACCCCAAAGCTCTGCACATGTAATGGTCAGCCACTGTTAATAATAGACTGTGATTTATCTGGGTGAGCCTTCTCCAACAGAGAAGTTCATTGAGATTTGTATCTATGAGAAAATCTTAAATCCATATAAATTTACAAGTGTCAAAGGTTGTATTATCACCGCTTATTTACACAGTGTGATACACACCCTCGTATTTGCTCAGACAGACATCTCACTTGATTTGAAACAACAGCAGGTAGGGACAAATTATTATTTATTACTCTGAATAATTTATCTTCCCATGAGACACCTCTTTAATTCACAGCCAGAACAGCCTAGACTGAGTAAATGAGGAGAATCTACACTGTAAACCTCAAAGAGGGGACAGATTCTTCTCTGAGCTGAGGAGGGCTGGAGGGTGGATCCTTACCTCAGGTTCTTGTTGCAGCTTTGAGCTACCACACGGCTGGAGCAGCTCTTTACACTCTGATTTCACAGTTCTCATTAAAGAGATCTGTCAGCTTGCAGAAGCATAATTTTAGCACCCTGATAGCAGCAGGGTCCTTTTTTAATTTGCCCTTTCTCTTTATGCGTGGAGGAAAAAAAAAAATAAAGATAAATATATCAGTTTCCTTTTAACGATTATGAAAATAATCACAGAAATATAGACAGAAAAAGGCTCAAGTCAGGCACATTCATACTGGTAAAGTTCCCAAGACATTAAAGAAAACCTAGGGTCTATTCCAGCATAATTTTAATTTATTTATTTGTAAAGATTGTGACTTAATTTTCTATTTGTATAGCAAGTAAGACAAGACTGTATAGACTGTGAGCAAAAGTGCTAAACTCAGCATAAGTATTACTACCCAAAAAGTAAAAAACCATCTTTAATCAAAACCTGAGAGTATGACAGAGCTCAAATTCTCTCTCAGTAACTCCAGTTAATTTTTATCCTCAAGCAAACCTGAAACATACATGAAGTCCTTTGGGTTTCTGGCCCAGAATATATTTTAGCCAGTTTGTGCCTGGAGAATCTCTCTTGCTGCACTCCAAACTGGTAGATTACCTATTTCTCATTCAAATGGGTTTTGCATTTTAAATATTTAAATTTAAATAAATATTTTCCATGCCTGAAAATCAAAATTCAGAATCCCCAGTAGCTGCAGAGCCTGCTGAGAGCAATGGTCTTTGCTGGATATAGGATTTGGCTTAGTGTCCAACCTGTGGTGCTCTTCATCCCAGTGCTTGGAAAATTCTGTCCAAGCTCCTGGGGATCTGTCTGTGTTCCTTTTCTCCTGGACACTGGTCTGTGTGTGCCTGCACGGGAGTTCTCTGACATGTGAGGAGAGGCTGAGAGAGCTGGGATTGCAGCTGAGAAGACAATGATCACAACCTGAAAAATATGAATTTTTTTCTGAGCATAGGAAAACACTTTTTTTTTCTTAATATAAGATTGACCAAATGGGGAAATGGGTGGCTGAAAGTTGTGGAGCCTCCAGCATTGGAGCTATTCAAAATGCAACTGGACACAGCCCTGCTCACCCTGCTTCATCTCCAGAATCTCTGTGAATTTCTGTGTTTCTCTAACTGGAACAAGTGGTCAATGTTGTTGACTGGCACCTGCAGAAATATGATAGGATTCTAAAATGCTGTAAAATGGTTTGGGTTGGAAGAGACCTTCCAGGTTCGCCTTAGAGCCTTTCCACTTTAAAAAGTATTGTGAAATATTAAATAAACAGAAAAGTGAGGATAGTTCCCAAGTGGAAGGAAAAGTTAAATGATGAGTGGTGTCCATCCCGTTTCCAGAGTTTTTCATTTGTGTGAGTGACTTGAGCAACTCCTCTTGTGACTTTAAAAGGACTTTGGCTGCTGAATTTGTGCAGCTAAATTTAGATGGCAACAGTGAACCTTTCTGCATTTGAGAAAGTCATCCTGAAGATCCCTTTGCAGTTAATGTGAGTCAATACCAGCCGGTGAAATTTAGGTCAATATGGAGTTGATTACTTTATTCAAATGATCCCCACCCTAAAAACCCAAAAAATCTTTGGTTGTATTGATTAGATCTGTAATTACTGTAATAGGAGCCTGGAGCCTGGGAGTCATTCTAATCAGATGGAGGTGCTTAGACCTTAAATTAGCTGGGATGAATGTCATCTTCAGAAGGGTACCCTTCCATTAGGGTGTTTCTATTGCCTCTTTGAAGTGTTTATGTGAATACAATGCAGGAGCTCTTATCTCTGCTTTGTATCTGCAGCACAGCACATAATGGACATCTGGTTTCAAAAATATTATCTGAACAATCTTATAATGAGCGGTTTAAAAATTAGCATAAATGAAAATATGCTTGTGTCTGTATTTGGCTGCTTTGTGTCTGATCATAATACCTTGTTGGTTTGCAGTAAAACATAATTAAAACAGTGTTTCTGAGGCTTTCACCTGTATTAAAAAGAACTAGGAAAAAAAAAGTTATTATCAGTTATGTGTTCAGTAGTAATAATGACAAACAAGTTTTTCATTCCTTTTCTCACCCTGGATAACAAGTTTAACTAGATTTTCTTAGACTGGATGTGTACACAAACATAGTCACCAAGGAAGCAGAGGTAGAATAAACACAAACACTACAAAAGCCTGCTGATATATTTCATAGTGATGCTTCCTACAAGCACTCGGGGCTGTTTCATAGGTGTTGAGTGCAAAAATACAATCTGTGTAACCTCAGAAGTGCAAAGTGCTGATCTTGGAGGTGCTATCCTGCTGCTGATGTCTTTCTTAAGAAGTTCCTTTTACAGTAATTGGAGAGAAACAGACTCTTTGATCAAAAATTGCCTTTTTTTAATCCATTATCTTGTCTGCATGAATAGTGTAAACATTTTATGGTTTAGATCTACATGTTTTTGATCTCTAATTAGACATCTACAAGTTATAATGAGTTGTTCCTAGTCAGAGGAAGTGCCTAAGGTTTTCATTTTTTCATGGCATGGAAAAATGGGAAAAAATACAATTTCTCAGCTATATTCTGTCCAGCAAAGTGCACCAGTGTCATGATCTGCCTTCTATTCTTTGTCTATTTTGCAAAAAAGTATATTTTTTAAACTAAATGCACTTTTCTCTAGGTATGACATCTCTTAGCATTGAAAAGAACACAAAATTTACTCTTTTCCTTGCTATAGCAGGTTAAATGTATTTTCTTGATGAATCTGTCTTTTTCTGTATTTTCAGTCTCAGAACCACAGAACCATGGAAAAAGTTTGGGTTGGAAGGACCTTAAATATTATCTCATTCCAACCTCTCTGCCATGGGCAGGGAACCTTGCCCTAGACCAGGTTATTCACAGCCCCTTCCAACCTGGTTGTTGAACATCTCCAGGGATGAGGAGTCCACAGCCTTTGTGGGTAATCTGTCCCAGTCTTCTCATCCCTTCCACTTCCACAATTACCTTAGCCTGGAATCAGTAAAAAACATTTTCCTGAGCTTAATCTGCTTTGTTGTTGTCTGTGCCTGTTGGGGGCAGGCACCCTTGCACCAGTGACACCTCTGCACCAGAAATTCTCTGGGGATCCTGTGAATACTCACCAGCTGTTCTTGGTTTTACAGAGCCCGTGGTCACCTGGGAAGTGGAATGGATTCTCAAAGCATTGCACACTCAGCCCCCACGTCCGTGTCTGCATTTATGATCACGTCATATTAAACCTGCTATAGCCAACAAGCACTAATTGTGTGAAAGAAAAGTTAAGTTTTATACTGTGTGTTGGTATCATTGTGAATAATTTTGCCTGTTTTCCCCCCTCTTCATCGTAGGCATGTTTTACCTTATGTTATAGATTTTAATTATGCCCCCTTGTATCTGGGGAATTCTATTTCTTTGCCTCCACATTTGCTATACAATGTGCTGTAAGATAAGTAGCTGTTAATTCATCTCTATTGTTTGTGTTTTTAACATGCTCCTGATCTCCAATTCTGCTCATTTAAAACTGTAAAAGTCAAGATGTTTGTCTGGTTCTTTTTTTTTTTTTCTTTGTTACTGTTTTTGTATGTTTAAAAATTAATTTAGCTCAGATTCCCCTACTGTGCACTGCTGCTTTAGAATTTGCTCTGCTGGATCTGAGCTAAGCACTTCCACAATTTCATGTGCCATTTACAACACATCAATTAGATGCTTATTTGATCCCACTGTATGCACAGAACACCATATTTATTCATGAGAAACATCACTGAAAGAGCAGGATAAATAAACAAACTATTATATTACAATTTTTCGGCGGCCTTTAAAAAAAAACCAAGTAAGATATCTCATGAAAAATGCCAAATCTTGCTTTAGACTTCATTTAATAGGTTTCAATGCAACCACCATTTGTGATTTTGTTCCATTTTCATCCATAATGTGTTCTCTTTACAACATGATTGAAAGTGCCATTTAAATTCATCTTTAAATGTGTCATGTATTATAAATGCAATTTTCCTCCAGTAAATAAAGCATTTCAAAAATTGTTTTAATTAAAATGCCATAGGAATTACTGAAGATAATTTAACAAAATTTTATATTTTTTACTCTTTGGGAGAAACAAAATTTTAACAAAACTATTTCATACCAGGAAAAGAAAAAAAGAATAGGAAAAAAATGTTACCTCTATATGTTATGGGTTTTGGGTATTGCAAAGTTTTAGAAAATAATAACAAATATTAAACTGGATTATTACCTGCACTGATATCAGTTACATGCTCCCTTTCCAAAGAGCTGACACAGTCTTTCATCAGTAAAGGCTGAGCACAGGAAATGCTCAGAGAAATCTTGCAGGTTCTTAAGCTCACTCAGGGTCAGAACTGTGAAACTTCTTAAATCAGCACAGTCAGGTTTGGAGAAGGAACACAAGTGACAGTTTCTGGTGGCTTGTCTTTAAATATGTAAAATCTACCTAACTGGATTGGTACATGTTACTTTAGATATTCATTAATTGCTATTAAGAAAAGCTAATGAATAGAGTGACACTCTTCTTCTCCTTCTCCAGCCACGCTTCGTGCTGGCATGAAATTAGAAATTATGACACTTACAGCTTTACCTTACTACAGAGAGTTTACTTCTGAAATAGAACTCCTCTCCACCACAAACTGCAGACTGCCTCCATCAGCACACTTGGCAAATCCTGCAGAGATGAAAATAATTTTCATCTAGTTAGTGAGAGCTGAAATGAACCCAGCTCATAGCTGATTGCAAGCAAATATTTTGAGAGCTTCGAGCTGCATTTGAACAAGGGATCCAGGACAAACAATCCTTGCCCAGTCACTAATCCCATTCATTAGGAGCTCAGTGATTACCTCATTAGTATGATTGAGCTTTCCCTGGGCCAGCTCACACAGCAGATCATTTGGCATTGATGACCTGGGTAAAAGATTTTCTCTGCTGAAACTACAGAGGTTGCCTGACTTCAGTCAAGGAGGAAATCCTTTGGCAACCAAGATGGGCTGTTGTGTATTATAGACTTGGTTATAATGGTAAACATCATTAAAAAAACCCAAACAATTCGTGAAGTCATTATAAAACAGTATATTCATGCTAAATCATAGAATTAGCAAATGGTTTGGTTTGTCAGGACCCTTCAAGGACTGTGTAGTCCAAGTCCCTGCCACAGGGATCTTCCTCTAAACCAGGTTGCTCCAAGCCCTTTCCGAGCCTGGCTTTGAACTCTTCCAGGGATGGGGCAGCCAGAGCTTCTCTGGGCAACCTGTGCCAGGGCCTCCCCACCCTCACTATAAATAATTTGTTCCTTATTTCTAATCTAAATCTTCCCTCTCTCAGTTTGAAACCATTACCTCTTGTCCTGTCACTACATGCCCTGGTGAAAAGAATATATGTCTTTCTTATAAGCTCCCTTCATATTCTGAGATGGTGCAATGAGGTCTGTGCAGAGCCTTCTCCTCCCCAGGCTGAGCAGTGGGACACAGCAGCAGTCAGGAGAGCAGTGAGAATGTGTGAGAGGAGCAGCTCTGCAGACAGCCAGGTCAGTGCAGGAGGGGCAGGAGCTGCTCCAGGTTCCCCTGCAGCCCGGGGTGCAGCCCCGGTGAGGCAGCCGAGCTCCTGCAGCTCTTGGGGGTCCACAGGCTCCTGGCAGGACCTGTGACCCTGTGGAGAGAGGAGCCCACGCTGGAGCAGCTTTGATTGTCCCTGCAAGCACCCCCGAAGGGCTCAGGCTGTTCCTGAAGGACTGCCCCCCATGGAAGGGACCACGCTGGAGCAGTTTGTGAAGAAGTGCAGCCCATGGGAAGGACTCACACTGGAGAAGTTCCTGGCAAACTGCCTCATGTGGAAGGGACCCCACACTGGAACAGGGGAGGAATGTGAGGAGTCCTCCTCCTGAGGAAGAAGGATCAGCAAAGATGGGTGAGGAAGTGACTGCACGCCCCATTCCCTGTCCCTCTGCCCCGCTGAGGGGGAGCAGACTGAGGAGAGAAGTCAAACTCAGGGAGAAGAGGGGAGTGGGGGGAAGGTGTTTAAACATTTGGGTTTATTCTCATCATCTTGCTTTGATTTCATTGCTAACAGATTAAAATAATTTTCCCAAGTGTTTTGCCCATGGCAGTAACTGCTGAGTGGTCTCACCTGATGGGGTGCAGGGCTTTGCTCTTGTTCAGCTTCACACAGTTCACATTTCCCAGGCTGTCAAAGTCCCCCTGCCCAGCATCCTTTCCTTCTAGTGTATCAGCTTCACAAACCTGCAGAAGGCTGCACTCAGTCCTGATGTCTGTGTCATTTATAATGATATTAAATCATGCTGGCTTCAAATGGACAGATTGTTACCAATCCCCATTTGGACAATGAGCCATTGTCTGCAACTGCAAGTGAAGATTTATTTTCTATTTTTTTAGTCACTTCATGGGAATGTTTTCCTTTGCCCTCCTCATGGAAAATAGAATATCTAAAAATGCCATTAAGCAGCTGGTTTTGTTACTGATGCTTTGGGAGAAAATACAGGCACGGTTTCTTCTTTACAATATCTCAGGCAGAGAAACAGAGCTCAAAGGTTTCCAACAGCAGGCAGTTCCATTTAGCATATCCTGCAAACCACCATGGTGTAGAGGGTTAATTGGTAACAAATAGGTGAGAATGGGATATGACAGGGGAAAATTCTAATAAAACCTCTTTGCAAAGGCATTATGAGGAGTGAGAGCATGCTGGCAATAGTGGAAGAGAAGTTAAAAAAGATCCTGACAAAATCAATTAAAAAGAGGCACATCAGAGGCATGGTGAGCTAAGTACCCAGTCCAATTATTAAGTTGTCAGGTCCTCTTAGTCAGGAGTGGAATAGGAAACAGTTTTTTTCTCTAGTGCCTTAAGGATACATGTGAACATGAGAAAAGAAACCTGCTTGGGTGCCTCATGCTGCTGCTGACAAGCCATGCAGGAGGCAGGGAAATTTCTCAGATCTGGGGCCTTTAAAAATGCCAAAGCTGAGTCCACAAAAGGACACAGATCTCAAAACTGATAGTATTGCACATACCATCAACTCTTCAACAATTTCTTGACTTTTTCTCCCCTTTTATGACATGTGAAAAATTGTACTGTATATACAATTCCAAGAGTCAGACTTTGATGAACCTTGTAGGTCACTTCCAACTCAGGATATTCTGTGATTCTGTGAAATGTGCTGTGCTGGGAAAACAGCTGCCTGAACTAAGCAAGAGGAAGCCTTGAGGGACCTTCTTTGCCTTCATCAGCACAAGGTAGGACATGAGGACAATTCTACTGCTTCAGCTGTTCATCACTCAGTATTCTGTCTCCAGCACTGGCAAAAACTAGTAAATAGGAGACAGAAGAAGTACCTTCAATCTTTTTTTCCTAATAATCTCACAGTCTTCAATCCTATTTTTTTTTCCCATTGAGGGGATTTCCAGGTGATGGTGTGGCTTGAAAACAAGTTTCAAAGATCTACTGCCAACAGGGAAAAAAAAAGAAATCTTCGAAATCCTAGGGTTTGTTTATTTTTAAATTTTTTTTCTCATTTAATTTGGCTCCTACTACTGTAATTTCATATCCATTTCTTCCTTCCATTGACAAAAGGTGTTGGCAGTCTGTCTCAATACAGCCTTTCCACCACATCATAATTTCATAGCCTGTTAAATAAAGGATATAAACCCCAAAGAGCAAAGATTTAGAATAGATATTAGGAAGAAATTATTTATTATTAGGATGGTGAGACCCTGGCACAGGCTGCCCAGAGAAGCTGTGGCTGCCCCATCCCTGGAAGTGTCCCAATGCCAGGTTGGAGTAATCTGGTCTAGTGGAAGATGTCCCTGCCCATAGTAGGGGATTGGAACAAGATGATCTTCAAGGTCACTTCCAACCCAAACCACTTTCTGATTCTATGATATGCTGACTTTTAGACAGCCCCAGCTGAAAGGAGTTCAGGCTTTATCCTAAGCTGTTTTGTGTTGTCAGGGGACCTGATATCTCCTGTGCATGCTGCATTTTGGTCCAAAGCCAACTGAACTTATTGGACATATCAAGCATTTTATTTTTCTCTTTCGCCTATTTTGGTAATTTCTTAGGCAAAAAAACATAGAAATCTACAAAACTGAAAATGCAGTGATTGACACATTCCTACACTTTAGCGTTCTGTGCCTCTAAGAGAGGATGGAGCAAAAAGGAAGAACGACGGAGCAGGTCAGCAGATCACTCTCTAACAACTTATTAATCTGCACTTCTGTCAGTCCAAGGGGACTTGAAACACTGGAAGTGGCTGCAATTCATCCATTAATAGTTTAAGTGCATTAACCCACATAATGAGGTGCAGGCTCTTCCAAGGCAGCAGCCCAGAGCATATTAATGATCCCTCACATGGAGTCTGGGCTGAGCTTCTCATGTGCTCACTCATTACAGGCTTCCACACTGTGAAACTGAGCTGAACCTAATTAGACCACAAAGAAATATGGTTATAATTGGTCTGGGGCAGCTCAGTAATACGTAATGAGGAAGTTTAATTAGCTTCTTCTTTGTTCTACTGGTTCTAGAATTTATTGTTTGCTTTGGATATTGGGCCAACTCCACCTCACCTTGCCATGGGAAGCAGATGAATAAAAAGATGATGATGATGATTAGTAATTTGGTTGTTGGTTATACACAGCAATGGCAGAAATTACTGAGTTTCACAATAAAAGATGGGGATTCCTGATCCTTGGATGCTGTCAGTAATGGGAGTATCAGATTTAAGAGTATCAGATAGCATTTAAAAAATGTCACTGTTGCTTTGTAATCTTTGTTTCAGTGTAATGGAGTTATAACCAATGCCAAGATCTCTAACCATCATAGCTAGGCATTCCAGATATATGTAGAAATTAAATTAGGACCTACCACCAAGGTGAACATATTTTTGGTTTATATAAACAGAGCAAGGAAGGTCATGTAGTGAGGTTTCAGGAAAAAATGTGTAGGAAAGTGAATATCTAAAAAACATATTCTATTAGTTCTATTAGGAATTCCTTCCTTCCTTCCTTCCTTCCTTCCTTCCTTCCTTCCTTCCTTCCTTCCTTCCTTCCT